TGATTAGTCCTGTGTTCAGGCAGCCTTTTCCTTTCAAACACTTGGGGCAAGGGGATGATGGGCTTCACATTGCCTTGGAAATAGCAGCCATCACTTTTGGATGCTTTCTGTCAGTGCCTGTACATCTTCCAAGCTGGTGTTAAACGTGTGGTTGAGTAGAAAAGCTTAAAATAAGTTGATGAGAGAAAATACAAGGGGAGTCAAGCACGCAGTATATGGAGATGGAAACAAGGCTGAGTTAAAGGGAAGAGATTGAAAGAAAGAGCTTGTTTGAGAATAGAGATCTTATCCAGAATTAAAATTCTTAAAATTATTCTTGTCTTGAGAAATTTGATAGTATGAGTGATATTCTTGAGAAGCAAGCTCCCAAACTGAAATTCCAGCTTAATTCTGGTGCTGGGTTGTATGCATTATTTTTCATCCATAGCCTGTTTTCATAGGGATTATGTCATATTAGACATTTTACTAGGTAAATTTGCACCACAGGACCTCTTATTCAGAGGAGGCATAACCAGCTTTCTCAAGAAAGCAATAAACTAACAATCAGCTGTGATCTTGGAAGATGGGGAGGAAGAAAGGGTAAAACTTCTGCTCTTTGTGGTGGTTAAAATCCTGAATACATCTAAAAATACTGTCGTGCACAGGATTTCTTTTTAAACTTGTCTAAGGATGACTTGATGCAGATCTTAATTAGACTAGGATGTGCAGTTAAGTCCAGCTTTACATTTTGCTTTTCTTGGGGTCTTCTGAAGGTGAATCGGTGAGGTTAGGCAATTTCAGTCCAGACGCTTGAAGAATCAAAGGCAAAGTGTGGAAAGTCTTAAAACTGCTACTGACTGTATCCCCTCAGAACATGCTGGGGAAGAGGTTTAGCCAGTATGAAGTAGGGAGGGTGGTGAAAGACACACTGGCTTCTGGACTGTGGTTCCTTTCCACCCTTTATTATTTAAACTTAATGAATATATAAAGTAAACTTGGTGAGATGCATTCATATCTAAAAGTCAGGTGAGTAATAGAAGTTGTAGTTTTTGGTAAGCTTGATCTTACCAAGTTTCTGACAAGTAGACTAGCTGACCAGGAGTGTTATGTTGAAGCCCATATTATAATATATTGTGGTTGAGAAGAAGAAGGTAAGTTTCTAAATGGAGTTATAAGGAAGGTGTTCAATTGATTTTGAAGTTGTGGCCAATTGTTACTGTTTCTAGGAATAAGCCCTTGAAATGTCCCTGAATCGTGAAGGATTTGGTTGCTGTTTGCTTCAGACTTACAAGACACCTTCTAGAGGTTTTGGTGTGGGGTTTTTTTTGTTTGTTTTGTTTTTTAATTATCAAGAGTATCAGCTCTCTAAAATGAATTAAATTCAGATAAGTTCAGTGTTGAGACTGATGTGTTAATTTAGCTGTGACTTGATAGGGTACTTGTATTGCTTGGTATTTAATTCAGTTTCTTTAATAGTTTCATTGATCTTAAAATATTGAGGTTAAAAAAAAAGTTATATTGTGGAATTTAGATTCTTTGAAGAAGAAAGGTGGTTTTTGGAACAGAAGACATACTAGCATCACTTTGACTCTGAAAGTTGCTGCTTCCTCTGCATCTAAGTCCTCTGGGCTTCATATCTGCATCAGGTAAAGTTGCTAGTTCCTTAGCTTATATCCCATTAAAATGGTAATTAAAGATCTGTTTTGAGGATGGGGTGTTATTTTTAATCCAGATTGAGTCAATTTTGATCACTCCCTCAAACTTATTTTTGATGACTTGCCTGCTATAACTTTCTTGCTATTTGCCAAATCTGTTTCTAGAATAGTATCATGAACAAGAATGCCTTCTTGTTCCATCAGTGTTTGATGGAAATACGAAATGGTTATCACGTTCAGGAGCACCTGGGTTTCTCCCATTTGCTCCTTATTCTGTATTGGGGAAAATTGTACTGTCATAATTACAGAAACCTCTGTCCCTACCCAGTGCTGCCCTATGTCCAGCTTTCCCTAGACTGATCCCTCCCCACCCCTACCTGGGTCTGAACTTCCAGGCAGGTATCCAGAGTCCTCACATTTTTGTTGCTCAGTTTCCAGACATCCTGATTGCACTCATTGGTCACATGCAGGTCGTTTTTAGCAGGGGTGCAGCATGGCTCCCTCATCTTCTGTTTGCTTGATCTACTGCTTTTATCTTGATTTTGATCTTCTTTGACTAGTACATATCCTTCAGTGCTTGTACCTTACTTAGAACTACTGTTCTGTGTTGCTTATTCTTTTACTGTAACTGCAGCTTTGCATCTTGCCCCAGGAGTTCAAGTTTGTTCCCTAGGCAGATAAAGAACAACCCTGCCACTAGCTGTGTTGTATGTCTGGCTGTGGTTTTTACTAATATTAGCACTATTTTTTTCTTTGCTGTTCTTTCTTAATCTGCTGATCATTTCTTCATCTGTTTGCTGCATCTTCTTGTGTGCTAAAACAGAGTGTGACAATTAAATTACTCTTTCCAGCTTGCCCTTGTTTCTCATTGCAAAGCTCCTCTTCTTTCTTATGCAAGTGTTGATCTTGGCTAGTTCACAAATTTATGTGTGTTTTTTTTATCATTTTCACTAATAAGTTTCTAGTGTTTTATTATGTAGTAAATGACAGTAAGGAGTTGTTTTTTCCCCCTAGTTTTGCTGCTTTTGAATTGAAGCTTTTTTCTAAACATAAATTTTACATTCTTTGATTTCCACCTCGATAAATAATCTCAGAACAACCTTTTGTAACTGTTTAACAACCAAAAAAAGGACATAATTTTATCCTACTGTTACTACATTGAAGGGATAATTAAGCTAATTATGATGGATTTCTTTCTGTTTATAATTTAAGGAGAAGTGCCCACTGACTTTAAATGCTTCCTGTTGGACTGAATAAGTGGCCAGAAGAACTTGAGTACAGTCCTAGCTGTAAAACTAAGTATTTGGTGTCTGCTTCCTTTTCTCTCTCTAAAGACACTTTTTTGGAGGAGCTTTGGTGGCTTGAGAAGGCTTCTTTTTTAGCCAGGTCTGTTTTTTTTCTGTTCCTTTGACGTTCTGTCCTCTCTTGAGCTCTCTCTGGCCAGCTAACGAGATGGAAAATTGAGCAGTGACGCAGAGTCCTTTCGCATGGCTCTAGTTCCAGACACAGCATTGTCCTTCCCTGTAGGATTGGGTGGGTGGCTCCTTTTTTTTAGGAGACATCAGCATTACAAAAGCATTATTTCAAGCCCTTGCCATGTTTCTGGTCTGTCTCCCAGCTGTTCTTTGCAGCTTCATGGCTGACAAGCTCATGTCTGTTTGGCCTCCAGTAGAGCAGAAGATACTTTGCCGTCAGAGTATTCCCCGTTTTATTTCTGTTTGCCTATTTTTAATACACTTGCTGGTTGCCATGTGAGCTTTGTATGATTGCTCAAAACCATGCTATAGTTTTTACTCATGCTGTTGGTATATAACTTCCCCTCAAACAGAGGTTGTTGGTGCTGTGTTGCAGTACTTGCTGGTTATTACTGTGCATTTGTGGCTGTGGTCCTGGGCGGTCGTTGATGGTGCACCCCCATTTGCACAGTCTGGTGAGATGCTGAAGAAGACTGTGCATTGAACAGCATTCTGCTCACTTGGGTGGTGATTATGCTAAGCTGAAAGACTGGTGACAAGAGGAGAAGCCAGAGGTATGGAGGAAGTGCTTAGGGCATGACATTTGGCTGTGGTTTGCGTGGCACCTGGGGCTACGCATAACTTCGTGGGAGTAGTGGAGTTTTAAATGAACTGGACTCTTTGTGGAAAGGTGCCCGGTGATCTGGATGTGCATAGTTCCTGTGGCATCGGCAGCAGCAGCGTGGGGTGTCCCTGGTGGTGCAACCACCTGGTAAATGTGGCTGCAGTGGTCCTCATCCCCGGGGAAAGCCAGCAATACGTAGAAAGTACATTTTGTTACATACCTCTGTTGTGATTGTTTTGCCTGGCAGATACGGGGTTGATGTGCTAGTTAACGTGTTTCTTCTGGGCAGCTGTAAGTTTAAAAAATGTGGGGATAGAGGAGTGGGGAATTTTGATCTGTAGACAACAGTCCTTCAGTTACCCCTTCCAGGGGCAGTTTTCCAAGAAAAAACCCTTGGACAGCCTGCAGTGACCTCCCTCCTCTTTCTTACATGGCTTAGTTGGGTCCATAGGGCTGTACCTTTCTGAGAACAAGGTAGCTAGCTACTCATGGCTGAATGATAGAGGACCAAGTTTACTAACAAAAGTTCACCAAGTTCACTAAGGGTGAAGCTGGTTGAAAGGGCTCTGGCTTGACTATGCATGCAGGAGGGGTGACCAGAGCTAGAATTACATACCAGGGCTTACACGCTCTTGCTTGTGCTTCCTGCACTCCAGCATGGATATCCTGGCACCAGCTTCCATTTTCTCCCCCATCTTTGCTTTCCCACATCTGTGGTACTGGAGTTAGTGCTGGCTGTTCAGGAAAAAATGTTGTGGCTCCTGGGTTGGGAGCCAGGCAATACCATTTCCTATGTCCTCAACTGGTCTGGCTCTGAGGCAAACCAAGGAACCTGTGTCTGTGGACATTATGGTTAGCAAAGGCTAGCCTATATATAGTTTGGTTGATGGCTTTAGGCAAGCTATGATAAACCATTATTTTTTTTGGAGAGGGAGAAAGAGAGGGATTACAGTGACAAGCTTTCAAAACCAACAATTAGTTTATGTTTTCAAAGTATGTCCACAAGTAGGGAGGTTGCAAAAACGCATAATATTTTACAATCCTTAATGTAGAAATCTGTGGCTTTCTTTTCTTGTTCTTTTTGTTTTGTTTTGTTTTTAAATACATGGGAATTGATCTTAGGCTTCATTGTGTTTAGAAACTGCACATCATGTTGGACATGCAGCCGCTCAGGGAATGTGCTGATCTGTTGGCATGTCTAAAAGAGACAAAAAGCTTATGTGTCGTCTGAGGGTATGAGGGATGTAGAAGAGTAAGCTTACCCAGTAACGTTTAATTTAAAGTTGCATGGTTGTTGATAAGGGTATGTCAGACAACTCCACTGCTGGACATACAGCTGGTTGTCTAAAGGTCTCAATCAATTAAGATCTCTTTTGAACAGAGATCTGTTTATGGATCAGCATTTTTTATGCAAATAGAAGACAAGTAGCAACAGTAAACTTAACAGGTTTTTTTTTATTCACTGACCTGACAGATTTCTCCTGTGATAATTGTCAGAGCACCATGGAGGCTTCAACAACCTAACCACACACAGCAGGCGTGGTGGGAGAAGTCTTGAATGGCAGACCCTATTGCTTTCCAAGAGTGTATTTTCAAGCCTTGGGTTGGAAGCACTACAGGTGCGCTGCAGTGCACAAAATATTAAAGCTGTTAGGTTAGCTGCCTTTTCTCTCCTAAGACTGTTCATTTCCCTTACTAGTATGGGTAAGTAAAAACCTAATGGTCAGTGTCAGATTCTTGTTTAGAATGCAAAACCTTCTAGATAGTAATGCATACCTTGATGCCTGCTTCATAAACTCAGTTATCCTTGTTTTCCTCTCCTTTCTTGAAGCCAGATTTCTGATATGGTTCTTACAGCATTAAACTGTGGATATCACTAGAAGCATTGTTACCCTAGTTTTTGGCTTGTCTGTGTGAAGCTGCTGCTTCACAACAAATAAGAGTGTCTCACTAGCAGCTCCTGATTTAGATGGGTTTGAGCGCTGAGATCCTGCGTTGATGGAAGCAGCATAGAACCTGTCTAGAGTTGGGACCAACTTCTCTCGCCTTTGTGCCACATAAGTCAAGCTAAAACAACCGTAAGGAGCTTGAGTAGAAATTCTTCATGAGGGAGGTCTTAAGAGCCTCTTCTCCTCTCTCTTCCCTTGTGTTTTGGTGTTTGTGGAGTGTGGAGGACAGGGTCAAGTCAGACAGAGCTGCTACTTTTCTCTGACTGTTACTGATGTTTCTTCAATAGCAGAAGTTTGAAAGAACACTTTCCACTATAGCAAAACAACACGTGGGTGTGATGCAGAATAGGAGGTTTTGTTCTATGCTCTCTCCTGGTTGCTGGCAGTATTATGAAGACACTACTTGATCTCCTTACTTGGCTTTTCTTGATTCTGTTCCTCACCTTCAATCCTGTCAGCTCAGCCAACACATTTCACAGTCACCCTTCCTACTCCTTGGGTAGTGCTCTAAGTACTGAGGGACTAGCATGCCATGGCTGCTGCTTCCCAGTTCTTCTCTGATAATATTTGCTTGTCCTTCTCCTTCAGTTTGTGGAGGGAGAGGACTGCATGTAGCTGCTTTTGGTGGTAGTTGTCAGACATATTAGGGGATGAAAAGTAATGCAAAATATGAGTACGTAGAGAAGACTAAGAATCCAGTCTTGGAAGAAAATCCTTGTGTTGATGGGATACTCTCTAGTACTAATTTGAATCTAGTATGCAGAAGTATTTGAGAGACAAGAGATAGATTTAAAGGGGGGAATAAAAGTATTAACATGGTTAGCATCATCAGCTCTAGCATCGACATGTGAGTGCCTACATGATTTTACTGAATTGGTTTTATGCTATTTTTCTAGCAAAATAGGTCTGCCTGTCCATCTGTCAATCTCTTTCTTAAATTTTGAACACACTGGTTTGTTCCAGGTGAGCTTGAATGAGTTTTGGGTATCTCAGAAATTCAGACTCCTGTAATGTTGTGGGAATGGCTTGCTTTGTGGCAAGAGGCCAAAAAGAGTTGTAAGGAGACTCATTTAGTTCTGCAAACATTTTGGGGAGGTTCTAGGCATGAATGGTGCTTACTTGAAAATCTTATGGGTGATAATGGAAGCAGCCATCCTAAGTTATCTGCAAAATAGTGTTATTCCTGATTTGGAGCTAAAATATCTCAGAAATTCAGACTCCTGTAATGTTGTGGGAATGGCTTGCTTTGTGGCAAGAGGCCAAAAAGAGTTGTAAGGAGACTCATTTAGTTCTGCAAACATTTTGGGGAGGTTCTAGGCATGAATGGTGCTTACTTGAAACTCTAATGGAAGCAGCCATCCTAAGTTATCTGCAAAATAGTGTTATTCCTGATTTGGAGCTAAAATACATGATTTAAATTAATGTAGTGTAATCCATAAACTCTCCTAATCCCTTCATCCTAACTTTTCACACTGTGACAAGAGATACCTGTAGTATTTGTCTGTTATGAGAAACAATAGTTTTGATGCACTGAAGAATTTTGGCAAGGTAGCAACATTCCTCCACGTGTGAACATACTTGTCTGGTCCCCTTAAGTGTTTTACGACACAATCTAAACATATGTTGAAAAAAAGTCCAGGCATTTTTTGACCTTATAACTGCTGAGGCTCTTTGTGTTGAAAATAAATTTCCCAAACAGTTTATGTGTCGGGAGAGAGGGGGATAACATTTCTGATTGATAGTGAGGAGCAGTAGGTGTGGTCCTGAGACTGACTCTTAAGTGCCACGGGGCAGTTAGCCCTTGCAAACAAGAAAACGTTTTGGGCCATCTGTACTTCAGGTCGGTGTTGCAAAACGTCCTATGTTGAATATCTCTGCTTTGCACTGGAGGGTCTTTCATATCACCTTGTATCCTGAAGAGAATGAGAGAAATTTCACATGCTGCAGCATGGGCTGCACTGCATGTTGTGAGATTCTGGTACCACCTTTTCCAACCAATTTCCATTAAGGAATCCAGACATTAAACAATCCTTTTTCTTAGTCGAGGTGTACATCTCTACTTAGACTGGGAAACTAACTTTCTGTCATCTTACACATAAGATGATTGAAGGCTTGCACAAGCTTTCTTCTGGCTGAGAAAGGACAGTGAAATTGTTATGATGGTCTGATTTAACAAAACAAAATCTGAATAAAGCTGAAAATCAGCTCTTTCATTACTTTTCCATTTACAGCTCTTGCCATCTCAGTGGACAAGTAGACTTGGGCATATGTCTTGATGTGAAATGTTGCAAGGAATGCAGAAGGAAGTTATACAGTTTGATTTGTGTTGTTGGAAATCCATTTAGTTTCCTTTCTCTGTAGAAGATCTGTTTCTTAAAATACTTCTTGTTGCTGAGAGTATGTAAGTTTGTAGTTGTTGTTGAAACATTCTAATTTGTACTCTATTAACATTTTCATAGATGTTGTTGAGTATCATTACCAAAATTATTCAGCACTCTAAAGAGCCCTGATACGCAGTGAGCAAGAAAATGTTGCATCTGTTTTACCTACTGTTTTTTTGGCTGCTTGTCCTTCAAACTTGTTTTTCTCGGGAGCAAAATCTCTGCATCTTAGAATTACTACTGCACATCAGTTCCTTAACTCTTAAAAAAAGGCTTGGGTGTCGGCTATGCAAAAGGAATGAGATGTGCAGTGATTTAACCAAGAGTCCGAATGTGTTACGCATGTGTGGTTGAAATGACAGTATAAAATGAATGTGATGCTAATTGTTGTCTCTGTAGCAAGCCACAGGTTAGTGTCCCCCCCGCACTGTTCACTTTAAATGTTGTGGTCAGCAGTATTAATGAGCATTGATGGTCCAGGAACCTTAAAACTGTTGCCAGTTCATAATTGCTTTTTGCCACATATATTTACTTATACCTGGGCAAGGGTCAGTCAAAGCAATATCAGGTGAGTTAATTCCATTAACTATTTCTTTTGTCCTGTTGTTGTTGGGGCCTGACTCTGAAATTGGTGGAAATTTTTCTGTTACCATAATTCACAGAGCAATTGGCTGTTTGTTCTTAAAAATTTTCTTCCTTAGGAGGGGATCTGCTTCTGCTTCCACTTTGCCCTCTGAGGTTACAGAACGATCTCTTCCCACACTGAGCCCTGCAAGTACAGGTGTCCCTTCTAATTGCATAATAAGAATAACCAGATTTGTGTACATTTCCTGCTTTCTCTTTTTTTTTTTTTTTCTTTTAAAGCCTGAGACTGCAGCTGTGCTGAAGCGCACTGTTGAGACTCTTATGGAGAGAGGAGCCATTGTGAGGAACCTAGAAAACCTGGGAGAAAGGTCTCTACCTTACAAAATCTCCAAGCACAAGGAGCGACACAGAAGAGGAGGGTATGCATGATACTTTTTTCCTTAAAATCCTTTAAAATGTACAAAGTAACTCTCCTGTTTGGTCTTCCTTGTGCTTTTCTGAGAGTACACCTGTAACGTCTGTGATCTCAGTAGAGCGTTGTGTGACTGTTTGTGCATGCGTGTGTTCTGCTTCAAGTGTTTTGTGTCTTTTACTAGGTGTGGTGTTGGCTTTTTGTTAGTGTTTAGTCGTCGTCTTACAAGTAGCCCGAGTCCAGGCCTGCAGAACTGCTTTCCCCAACATACACAATGTTATTTTGTTCTGTCGTTTTTACATAACTGTTTTCCAAGCCACTCAGGCTGTTTACTGATAAAAGTTGTATTTAATCTGCTGGCTGCTCAATTGCAGGATTGATTCTTTTTCTCTAATGCATCGGCACTAAATGTTAATTACTGTGTGTACCGTGTAAGACCTGCTTGCATTTCTGATACAATTTTTGTTAAGGATGTTAAAGACGACCGTGTGGTTTATGAGAAGTAAATGTAAATGGAGCTGTGAATTGGCATCTCGGATATCAGGCTTCCCCTGAGGTGCAGGAGGAAGGTGTTGTGGATCGCACCCCCTGCTTGCTTACACCGCTGTGGTGTTGCTCCTTGAGGCTACCCCTGAAATGGATGCTGGCTCTTGCAAGGGCTGAGAAATGTTGCTAAGCAACCCGCGCTGCGCTGGGGCTGCCTGTGGTAATCACAATAACAATTAGTGACATGCTCCTCCTAATCCCTGTAATGCAACTGTGTGTAATCGGATGGTCGGCCAACCTGCCTACCTGCTGTCTTCTCTGAGGGCTGTTTGGCGCTGGGGAAGGCAAGGTGACTCCAGAGGTATGCCTTTTATGAAGCCCTTCTTGGATCATCTCCCCAGGGGTGACTCAGGGTTTCACTCCCTCCTCTGAGGACCTCTTCATTCTCCTGTGAAGTGGGAGTGGAAACAGCTGCCAGTTAAAGCAGACTGACAGAAAGGATAGGGGAGAAAATCTCCACCACCTGCCTGTTACTTAACCGAAAGCAATGGTTGTGTGGCTGTGACTGTCATGCATTCCTACTCTGTGGAGTCCTTCAAAACAGGACTAGATCTTGCCAGTTTTGCATTTTATGAGGAAGTCGTATTGCCTACACATGGGAGCTAATCAAAGTCTTGTCTCGAGACAGAATTCCTAGTTACCTCATCCTTCTCTTGGAGCAGAACCATTTTATAAACATTGAAGTCTCCTCCAATGGTTTCAGCAGAACAAGGATCCGATACTACTCTCCTTGTACGGTTGGGGAGCTAAGGCAGAAGGACCAAGTTCCTCTAATTTTTGATGCTGAAGTTGAGACTTTTAGCTTCTAGATTTTTTTTTTTTCCCCTTAAGGTACTTAGCACTCTCTAACATTTCACCACTTCAGGTGACAGTTTCTGCTTGGCTTGGGTGGCAGTACTTCTGTGGATCAGGTCTTGGGTTCTTCAACAGGGAAACCAGGACAGGAGAAGACAGTAGCCAGCATCACAGGAACTATGTAGCAGAGATGAATAGAAGCCATTTCTCCAGAGGATCTTTCACGTGTAAACTACCTTAAATCATTTACTGTAGCAGATTACCTACTTAATAAGCAGGACAAGGGGATCTGTAGACTATAGCTCTCTCCTTTGCAGAGTCTCCAGAGCAGAGGTTTTATATTCTGAATGAGGCAAGGTTTTAGTAGCATATAATTGTGATTGTGTCTTGAAACATGAGCAGGAAGCCATCAGATTAATGTCACCATCGCTGTTCCTTCTCCATCTCCCAGTTCAAATTTCTCTAAATATTCTGCTTGCCCTGGCATTGGATCTTCTGTATTTGAATATGACCCTCCCCTAAATTGCTTGGATTCCTGAAAGGAAGTGATTGAGAGAGGGTACTACAGGAACTAGTTGTTTTGTGTGTTTTTAATTGGAGAACTTGAATTAGGGAACACAAGATATTACAAGGGGAAGTAGCAGGCAGTTTCAGTACCTGGTCGTGTGGGAGAACGGTATTTCTGTAAATTTTTCTGGGGAGATTGTAGTTCAGTGTACAGCTATGGTGGATTCCTGGTATATCATCCAATATTTCACATGGTCTAGAAAATAAGTTACTCAGGATATTAAACATAATCTAGGAATAGGAAGTGAAAAGTCAGTTATTAATCCACCTTATAAAATCAGTCAGTTCTACTTGATAGTATCTGTAAAAGTAATAACTTTTTTTAACGTGACAAAGTTAAAAAGAATAAAAAAGGCTTTTCAAGATACCTCACTAAGCTGAATATACACCTGTAGTTACAGAGAAATCATAGAATGGTTTGGGTTGGAAGGGACCCTTAAAGGTCATCTAGTCCAACCCCCCTGCAGTGAGCAGGGACATCTTCAACTAGATCAGGTTGATCAGAGCCCCGTCCAGCCTGACCTTGAATGTTTCCAGGGATGGGGCTTCTACCAAATCCTAAGGTATTTTCGCCTTCATAACCAATTTTTAATTCTGTCTGTGTTCCCTTTCTTAGCAAGTTGGTGTAGGGTGGTATATTGAGTAGTAGGGAGTGTGTCACCTTTTCCTTAGTCTAGGCTTTTCCTGAATGTCCTATTTTTTACCCTGAAAGGGCTTCTGTAAGAGTGCAAATGATACTATGTGTCTGGGGTGGGGAGAGTGTTGAGTCTTTCAAAGCTTTTCATTTTTTTTTTTTGTTTGCTTTTTAAAATTTTTAGTTTAGTTTAATTTTAGTTTTGTGCTTCTTAGCAGAGCTTCAGCTAGTTTATTTTCCAATGGTATGTACATGGCTGGAAATTTCGGATGTACTCGCAATCTGTTTATCTCCTTGGACCTCCCGGCTGGTGAATTGTATGAAAATTAGTGGAATACAATATTTGTAGCAACAAGTTGTATGAAAATCAGTGGAATGTAATAGTTGTAGCATGGGTCACAGCTTAATAGTGTGTCTCTTAGAGACAGCTGTTGTCCTAGTGACCGCTGCGTGAACAGTCTTCCTGTCCCTCAGAATTGCATGGAATCCCCTCATCTGCATGGGGTGTTTGCTTGTAAAACAAAACAAAACAAAGCAATCTTCCTCAACGGCGTAGTGGGCCCACCTTATAACACACCCAGTGCTATCCAGGCTGTGTCTCTTAACCTCAAACCAAGGGCCATCAGTAGGGCAGCACCAGCTATTCATAGGTCAGCTGAGAGGTGCTCTGTGGCATGCCCAGTGGTCATCCTTCCCACGGACTTCTGTTGTACCTTCTCTTCATTTAGCCAATACAATTTTTAACTGCAATCCAAGTCTTTATCTACAGCTTTTCATAAAACTGACAGTGAAAGGACACACAAGTGCAATGTGCACAGCAAAGCTACTGCTGGACTTAGGCAGGTTTTGGTAGTGTCTTTACAGGGAACAGTAAAGAATTAAACTGGAAAATACATATTCATGGCTCAATATGTATTCATAAGTCAATAAGGATAGTTGTCTCCTATTAAAGCACTTTTTCCCCTTTGAATTCTGTAGTGCTTCAGCATCATCTGTCTCACGTACACTGCATTACAGGCACATTACAAATTTAAGAATATCCAGGAGACTTTTCAGAGAATAGGAATTTTACTGCCAATTGATCTGTAAAGCTGAGATTTTTCAAAGCCTGCCGTAGGGGATTGTGGCCCACAGCTGTCACTGGAATGAGCAGTTTTACTCTCCCAGGCAGCTTTGAAGACCTCAGATCATACGTATAATTGACTTATTTCTTCTCAGGAAATTACATTCACTGAGCAGGTGGTGCATGTGCATTGAGGGTATATTAAAACAAATTTAGGTCTTTCTCTTAAATGCATCTTTTTTGGCAGAAAACGTCCTTTTTTTTTTTTTTTTTTTTTTTTTTTTTTTAGAGATCCAATATTGACAGCTTTTGCATTTAAGTAATTATGAAAATAGTATGTTTCAGGAACTGTGTGGATATGTCTGAAGAATCAAACTTTTAAATCACTGTTTTTCTCATATTTTAAGCTAAAATTAAATTAGCTACTAATTCACATTTATAGTGTGAATTACTGTAGTAGAATATTAATATTTTGTTTTTAAAGTATTTAAGAGCATGATTCAAGTAGCATCTCACAAAATTGTAACAAATGCTATTCACTTTATAGATGAATAAAATGTGACAAGGACACACTGGTTCCGGAATGGGTTAGTTGAGGCACTGAGCCCGACTGACTTGCCCATGACCACCATGTCTCTGAAAAAACAGTGGAAGAATGTAAATATGGTTCACAACTTTATCTCCTAATAGGCAATAGATTTGTGCCAAATATTTTTTTACTAGCCACTACTTGTTGATCATTTTGAATGAGTTGTATTTAAATTGCTTTTAACATGGTGCATTTTTTTTTAATATTGTATTATATGTGTCAGGAGGTTCTTATTTCTGGAACAAACAAAAGTGAACTGATTTAAATAAGGTGTGTACGAGTATTTGAATTCAAGGAATGTTAAACTCAGGGCTTGTTGTCTGTTTAAGGTGATACAGAAGCACTGAATCCCTCAAAGTAGCTTTCAAATAAAGGCTCCAGTCTGGGTCTGAGCGATGACACTGCAGAGCCGTTGCTGCATATTTGGTCAGTGCTAAACTGGAGAATATTGCAACTGCTTGTAAAATGATAGATCTCAGTAAAAAGATCTCTTGTAAAAAGATCTCAGTAGCACAGTCTGTGGGTTTGCACTTTGTGGCATACCTGTTTTCTTTGGCCTTACCAGGCTATGCCTTAATCATATGCTTGTGACACTTCGTGCTTCAGGGCATCAGATAAAGGGGGTGGTTTGAGGGACGTGGTTGGTATGTAGGATATTTTTACTTTAGAGGAGATGGTACAAGGGCAGCTGCAAACCAGAACTTGAAAAAAAAAAAAAAAGAAAAAAAAAAAAAAGATTCAGACACTCCTTTGGGAAGGTAATGGCTCAAACTTTTTGCAGACCAAGAATCTATTAAACCGAAAGGAGCTATG